TTAAAAACAAGAAGAAGTTGAAAACAGAAATTGGTGCTTTTCCAAACGAACCTGAATTTAAAAAATAAATTATATCATTCGGTACTCGAAAAAGATTCGATGCCAATATGACATTTGAAAGCATCGATTCCGGTTAATAAGTATCGATAGCAACCGAAAAACCGACACAACTTTCGCAGCCCACTCACACGAATTCTCAGCCAATCAGAGAGTAGCACGCCCACTTTACAAATCTACAGCCCATAAATACTTGAAACCGCCCCATCACTCGCCGTCCCTGCACACACCACTAATCGAGACGAACATCGAACGACTGAACACGGACCCCTTGAGAATATCCACTCTGCACTTGGTTTCTACTTCTGTAAGTATCGCATAAATTAATGTGTCACAACGCAGTGGAATCAGACACTCGTCAATATTTGGGCATAATATGGAATTATTAGTATCATTTTAAAGCTCGTTGAATTGCTTTCCATTTTACTGAAAGCAATACATATGTAGCTCTAATAGAAGTCAAGATTGAAGGAGATCGGGGTCGCCTGGTGTTAGAGGTAAAATTAGCGAGAAAATAGCTGCCAAAGTTTTGTGACTTCCGAAGCATGAGTGTCCCTGTAGACTGTAAATTTACTCTTTTTTTTTGGGTACTTTTGATCAACGTTTTTCAGAAATATCCACACTGAAATGTGTTCTTTGGTTTTAGTTTTGGTTTTAGTAAGTGTTTTACGGCACTTGGAACACAATAAGGTCATATTATAGTGCCGAAATGTGTTCTTAAATAGACACACAAGACATTGAGGCAAAAAAGAAAAATTCGAAAAAATTTGCCCAACGGCCAGGAAAAGTGCCAGTTTCTTTGATTGCATTATTTTGACGAGCGCCTGATTTCACCACGGCGGCTCACATATATGTCTATTAGTTTGTTTGCTTCTTTTAATTAAATGATCAAGATGTGGTAAACTTTTCGCTTTCTCAGAATGACAAAGTTCTGTATTCTCTCTTTAGAGAAATCTGACGTCAAAGATTTTGAGTTTCACAACATGTCATTACTTTTCGTATGAAACTCTTTGAATATTTAGACAACGACTCGGAATAATCTAACCATTTTGATAGAGCGGACAGAACATGGGCGTTTTCCGTGATGTAAAAGTTGCTCTTCCGCAGGAAACACACAAATCTATATTAAATCAGTCGATCACTTTGGTCGCCTAAAACTTCCGAAGCACTTAGCTTTTGAATTTGAAAACAATTAACGGTGGTTCAGAATCATTTAAAGGGTGCGCAGTCATATTAAAGAATCTAAGTCAATGCAGTTTAATTTTCAGTGTTTAATTAGTTTCGTTTAGATCTAATGTTAGGAAAGTCCATCTTTTAATACGCCATTGTAAACAAGTTAGGCTTCCCTTCACTAGCCGTGCGCACTGTTCCCAAAATGACTTGACGATCTTTTGTGTTGATCTACCTCCTCCTTGAATCTTTAAGGTCATCATCATAATTTTATGATGGGCAAACTATCTTCTTCTTCTTCTTCTTCTTCTTCTTCTTCTTCTTCTTCTTCTTCTTCTTCTGAGTTACATCTCGGATTCAGGCCTTAAGGAGATAAATACATCACACTTATAGGTGAAGTTTTTTAAATTTATAAGTATGAAATAAAAGGTAAGTGATACTTAAAGAATATGGCATAAATAGAAAATCTACAAATTTGACCCTAGTGTCACTTTTTGGCCAATATCTCCAGTTGTGGACTGCGAGAAGTAACTCATTTTATCAGCGCGCCTCACACTATTATTATTATCATAATTACTACTACTACTACTACTACTACTACTACTACTACTACTACTACTACTACTACAATCTAACAGGAACATTTTTTTTCAGACAAAACAAAGGCCCTAGAGACATAGATAAAACACTACTAGTACAATGCTTCGTCTTGCCGTCCTCGCCATCTGCGTTGTCGGCTATACACAAGCCTACCAGAACGACTGGGACGGTCCCCATAACTTCCAGTGCAGGCACGGGGAGTACGTCACTTCCGTCCACAGCGTCCATGACAACCGTCGCGAAGACCGACGCTGGCAGCTTGGTTGTGGGGGCAATGAAGCCAGTGGGAGCTGTAGATGGAGCGGTAGGTGTTCCCGAAATGTCTTGCGGGTTGAACGTCTTATTTATTTATTTATTTGTTTATTTATTTATTTAAATTTATTTATTTAGATATCTATTCATTTTTATTCATTTTTATTTCAAATATTTTTTACATTTTAAAATTTTTTAATTTTTTTTTATTTTGACGTAAAACACATACTCAATCAATCAATCAATCAATCATATTTATTTAAAGATCAATTTACAATATTTCTGTAAAATCAATTCAATGTCCAGCATGTTTAAGGTGCTATTTGGTTTCATTCGTCTATTTTATTCACTATTTTTTTTAGATCAGTTATACAGCAGTTCAGAGAGTCAAATCGTTTAATTTCTTTCAGGTTGAATGTCT